CCTCCCCTCACCTTTTTTTTTTTTAGTAGATTCTTGCACTCTCTAAATAAACTTAGAGTCATGATTCACAGAATCAAGATGGAAAGGAATCTTTACAATCATGCAGTTCTCCCTCCTAGCCCAGGATTCAATCTCTTCACTGCCCCACCCATGTTCAGCCACGTGTTTGGGCACATCCAGTGATGGGGAGCTCACTACTTCCTGAGGCTGCACATTTTATCCTTCAACTTCTAAGTCCTTTCTATTATTCAAGGGAAATCCATTTCCCTGTATTTTTTACAACTACTTCTAGTGCTATCACTTCACATTTTACAAATATAAATTTCTCTTCCCAATAATCATCAATATCTTAGAAAATGTCAAAGTGTTCCCAATGTTATTTCTTCCGCTGGACAACATTCTCTATTCTCTCAACTTTTGCTCATGTGTCATGATTTCCAGTCCCTCCCTCACTACAATATAATCATATATAATAGGTATCAAGGATACAGTTAATAATACAGATAATATGCATTATCCCATTCAGTTCTCACAATAGCCCTGTGGGGTGGGTGCTATTCATGCCCCCATTTTACAGACCAAGAAACTGAGGCCTACAGAGGTCAAATAATTTGTTTGCAGTAAAACAGCTGGTAGATGGTAGAGCTGGGATTCAAACATAGGCCTCCAATTTTGAGCCAATATTTAATCTGTATTTTCTCAATCTTATTGGCCCCAACCTACTGGTTGGTCCCCTGCATGGAGCTTTGCCCAAGGGACCCAGAGTATCATTGGCCCTGAGTCATAAATGGGGTAGGGGAACAGGAAACAGGTTAAGGAAAGCACACATTTAAGGCCAGAGGACTAGGTTAAGGAAAGTGTACCTTAAGGCTATATCTGAAGATAAAAGAGGCTCTGAGAAGCCCAAGCCAGTAGCTCTCAGACTTAAGAATACATTAGCACCACCAGCAGAGGTTGTTTTAATTCCTATTTCTGGACTCCAGGCTGAGATTTGGTATTAATAGGTCCAGGCTGGAGCCATAGAGTCTAGTGTTTATGACACGGGTGGTTTCTGAACCACTCTTTGAGAAACTCTGCCCCCTAAGCTTTCCAAAGCCCAGCTTTGGCCAGCTCTTCTGAGCCAGGGAGCAGCATGTTAAGGCAAGGTGTAATAGGCGAAGGTGTTGTTGGGCTTGAGATTCCTGGATGCTTTGTCAATCCTCAGTGGGTAAGGAATGCCAGACCACAATGGCATTCTCATGAGAACTGGGCAGAAGGACCTTCTGAGCAGCCATTTACTCGGTGGCTGCTAATTCTCAGCCTCACCCCATACTATACCTGAGTTTTCCTTTTTTAACCAAGAAGCATTTGCTAAGTGGAAGCCAATTAAAATCTTTGTTTCAAAACCAACTTCTAAATATTGTACATAACACTCTTCTCTTCTTAGTACAAACTGTAACAATGTTAATTTTACACTCTGGTCTAATCAGATCTCATTATTGATGTTGCTGGAATACCCTGCTGCTAGTTCTGTATCATCTGTGAGCAGGTCTTAGTGAGTCATGGATTTCAAAGTTGGTTCCTGTTTTTATCAGTTTAAAGACAAAAAACGAGATTTCCAGTTTATACCTCTAAGCCCATCTGTTGAAAAACTGCACCCAAGGTCCTTGCAGTCTGCTTGCTAAGCAACAGAGGAACAAAATAAGCCTAGCTCCTAAGTGTTAACCCTAGCAAAAGCTCAAATGCCTGATTGCCTGCTGAGGTGCCATAGAAGGGCACCTGGGAGTCAGTGCTCCTGGTTAAGCCCTCTTCCTCTAGCCAGTGTTCTAGTTATCTAAGCCCACTTAAACTACTCCATAATCAGTTGCTTAAAACCACCACCATGTTATTATATACCATTTCACAGGTCAGGAATTCAGGCAGGGCTCAGCTGGATGGTTCTTCTGCTCTATGTGGCATTCAGGGGGTCACTCAATGGTATTCAGGTGGTAGCTGGGCTGGTTTGGGGAGTCCAAGATGGCTTCACTTACATTCTTGGCACATTGGGTGGGGATGATGGAAGGCTGAGCTCAGCTGGACCCCTTTCCCTCTCCATACAATCGCAAAGCCTCTCCATTCACTCCTTCTAGCTGGGTAGCTGAACTTTCAACATGGTACTCAGGGGTCCAAAAGACCAAAATGCAAGTTGCTAGTCTTCTTAAAAACTAGGTCTAGATCTGCTGCAGTGCTTCAGGCCTGTAATCCCAGCACTTTGGGAGGCCAAAGTGAGAGGATCACTTGAGGCCAGGAGTTTGAGACCAACCTGAACAACACAGTGAGACCCTCATCTCTATAAAAAATAGAAAAATTAGCCAGGCATGGTGGCACGCGCCTGTAGTCTCAGCTATTTGGGAGGCTGAATCTAACCCTGCCTGAGCCCAGGAGTCTGAGGTTGCAGTGAGCTATGATTGTAGCACTGCACTCCAGGCTAGGGGACAGAGTGAGACCCTGTCTAAAAAAAAAAAAAAAAAAAAAACTAGGTCCAGAAGTGTCCAGAAATGTCAGAATGTCCCTTCCTTATACTTTGTCAAGTCAGAGCCAAGGAAAGGAGAAACAGACCCCATCCCCCGGGCAGGGGCTTGTAAAGAATTTATGCCACCTCTAATCTACCACAGCCAACCTTTCTCCTCTGGTCCCCACTGCTATCGGCCCCATTCTCTCACAGACTCCTAAATCCTCCATCAGGATCAGAACACCAGAAGTTTCAATGTGGAGCCATAAGAAACACCATCAAATACTAATTTCACCTGAGGGCAGCACCCCCTCCCTGAGGCGGCCTTAGGGACAAGGACAGGCCTTTCGAATGTCTGTGCCGCACAGTGAGGCCTTGCTGCTCCTCACTCCTCTCACTTCTAGCCTGTGTGTCTGAGAACCATCAGGTGATAGTTCTCTTCTGCTTTTCTCATCAGTTTGGCCTGTGGTTTGCCATCAGGAGAGACTGATGATTTTTGCTGGTCCCAAGAGGGTGGGATGCATTGTGACCTCCAGGCTCACCTGGCCCAGTCAAGGCCAAAGACCAAGAAAGAGCCATCATCTATCTCATTTGTAAGAATGTAAGGTTTGCTATGTATTTTGGGCAGCCCTTGTGACCTCCAGAAGAGGTGATTTCAGTGCTAGCAGAAAGACAGGAGGTGCTGGTGGGCAGTGGTCCGGGGAAGCCCAGCCAGCGCTGTGTAAAGCTAGGAATCAGCCGCCAAAGCAGCAAAGGAATGTTCCTAAGCTTCCTCCTCTGCAGCACCAACGACAGCTGCGCTTCTGTTGCTAGGGAAGTGATGCACCAGAATTCAAGTTTGCAGGGCCATGACACCCTCTGCCTGTCACCTAGAGGTACTGGGAGGCAGGCTGGCCCTCTGTGCCTTGAGACTGGGTGTGAGCTCAGTACGGGAGACCTGTCAGCTTAATCCCCTCAACATCTCCCTCCTGTGAGCCTTGTGCTCAGCCACACGCCCTGCCAGCTGGGTCCAAACCCTTAACTCGCCAGGGAACTGGTTGTAAGGAGCAGCAGGAAGTGGAACGGGAAAAGACACAACCGTGATCCAATCTGCAGGCCGCAATGAGCATCTCCCGGTGTCACTGTGACCCTCTAAAACAGATGCTTGCACTGAGGCAGAAGGGAAATCCTCACATGTGAATGCCTCCCAATTTCCAGCCACGTCCAGACAGTCTCTGCTTCCCCAGCTCCTGTGCTGGACAAAGGCTGAACCTCATGGGGGTGACGTTACCCACTGCCCCGGGTTAGGGACAGCCTCCCCAGGGACTTCTCTACCCCTCCCCTTTGGTTGGCTGTTCTGCAGTGTCGTGGTGGGAAGGGTTCTGCATAGGGGCCAAGCACAGTTTCCTTTCTCAAAAGGCAGGGAGCCCCTAATCATTACCCTGTCCCTGGAGTTTGCCTCCAGGGAAATACTTGCAATCAATCTAGCTAGGGCTGCAAAATACACAAAAACATAACATTGAAATATTATGATCACCCGAGTATTCATAACCTGTGAAAATTGTACTCAGTTGCGAGGCAGCTCCCAAGTGTTGGAAAGTTGTTTTACACCAAATCAAAATCTGCCTACCTCTAACTTCTAATAGTAACAAGAGGTAAACTTTATTAAGCACTTACCACATTTCTGGTGCTTTGCGCAGAACCTCATGGCTGCCATCCTATCCTGGGGTGACTCTGGGAGCTCAGCTGTACCAGCACCCATTTACAGCTAAGGACGCTGAGGTTCAGAAGAGTTAAGGAGACTGCCAGCTCACGCAGCTGGCACAGAACTCAGTGCTGCTGCACCCAGTGCCTGGGCCAACGTGAACCTGTTGGCCCGTTCCATTCCCTCTCTCCTGAGGCAGCCCTTTGCTCCTGGAAGGTGGCTGGCTGTCTTATCCACTCTATCTACCAGTCTTTCCACCAGCCCAAGCATCCTTGGGCTTCTCACTGCTGCCACCTGCCCGGCCTCTGTCTCCTCGCCATCCAGGTCACGTTTGTCTGGGTTCCTTTCCAAGGCAGACAGGCAGAAATGAGCAGTGTCCCGGCGCTGGTTTCCACTGCTCCAATTCCAGATTCAACGTCCTTATCATGCAGCCTGAGGTTGCCCTGTGATTTTTGGCGTCCTTTCCACGTGAGCTCAGAGACCATCCCCACACCTGAGATGTTGTCACCTGCCGTGTTTTAGGGCACTCCTCCATTCAAAACGGGATGGGAAGACGACGTGGCACTTATCTCAGTTAAATTTCATCTTACAGCTTACTGACCGATGCAGTCTGTGGAGTAGGTTAACAGCGTCATTGTGACTTAGCACAAAGCATGCTAGACGTAAATGCGAGTTGCAGGCCGCAGGGAGGACCCTGGTAACAATGCTGACCGGCCGCGTGGCCACCACTGTCCAGACCGGGCCCGTGGTTTTAGACAGGCCTTCTTGGGAACTGTCACTCAGCCACGCATGGATCCGCATGGATCCTGCACCTACTCGCAGCCCCTCTTCACGCTCCTCCTCCCAGCCCGCTCCTGGCTCCTTTGATAAGCGCTGGCAGGGTGGGAATCCCTCCGAGGCTCTGTAGGACGAAACCTCCGTGGTGCCTGGAGTGGTAAGTGCAGGGAGCGAGTGGGGCCGTGAAAAATAACCAGATGGCCCCAGTGAGGAACGCGCGAGGGAGCATGGAAGAACTATTGGTGCCCATCTCAAGAAACTCACGGCACCTGCCCTAAGAAATCTGCCCAGAGCACGAGCAGGAGGTGCAAAGCCTGCTGCCTCCTCGGTAGAAGGGCAGGAATAAGAAGGCCTGGCCTGGCCGCCCCAGGGCTTCCAGGGCAGTGGGCGGTGGAAGCAATCGCTCTGCCTCCCCCACTTTTTCCCCTCTGTTTTGCTCAGGAGGCATTTCATCCCAGGGCTGGTTGTTGCTCTGATTGGAGCCAGCCCCTCTTTGCAAATGATATTACTCTAGCACACAGTATGGGGGCGCCTCACTTTGTGAGTACCCTTTTGAAAAGCAGGTATTATCAGGCAGTCAGCTAAGCAGTTGATTGGCTTCATTGCCAAAAGGTGCTTCTAACAAGCAATGAACGCACTGGGGGCTCTCAGAAAGTCCCTCTGACACCTTCCTGCCGGTCCGCAGATTAGCCTATCAGAGGGCCCGAGGGAAGAGGCAACGATTCGAGTTCCAGCCGAGAGGAAGAATTGTCTAGGGCGTAAGAATCCAAAAGGAAAGTCAAGTCCCTCTGATACCACACTGTGAGTCTCTGAAAAGAGTAAAAGACGAAAGCTGTATTTCCGTCTGATTATTAGGTTGGAACGTCAGGGTGACATGGATCATGAATCTGCAAGAAGACCGCAGTGGGCCCCGTCTCTGATCCCTCGGGAGGCATTCACATAAGTCAGTCTCTACGTTCTGTGCGTCCCAACTTGCAAGGGAGTGCCAGGCCCTCGCGCAGCTGCTGTGCTCCACCGGCAGGCTGCTGGCTCCCTCTGCTGTCCGCGTCTCGCCTTGCTCCCAGCGAGGACGGCCCTTTCTGTGCGGGAGAAATTCCGAAGGCGAGAGGCTTGGAGCGGGATAGCCCCTAGTTTGCTTTGGGCAGGACCCTAAGCCCTGCCAATGTCTGAGCTCTCGGGTGGGGCTCCCCGAGTAACCATTCGTTGACCAGGTGACTCCTCCTGCCCCAGGGCTCAATTTCCTTCAAAGACTTTTCTGGATACCTGGGGTGGAGGTTGAAGAGGGGGTCTCTGCAGGCAAAAGGAGCACTGAGAACTGAGCAAATGACAATGGCTTTGCGTAAACCTGGAAAGCCATTCAGAGGAAAGAGAAATTCTGTTGATGGTTTGTATTGTTTTCTTCCCAGAATCTTCGTTTTCCTCTCCTGAGGCTGATGGGAAATCTTCCCACCACCCATATAACCTCCCCCCACTGCACTCTACCCAGGGCGGCAGAGGGAGACTGTGTCCCAACAAACACAAAGAAGGCAACTGAACACCCCGCCTCACGACCTCTACCCCTTAAAAATTTTTTTTAAAAAGAAAAATAAATAAAAATTAAGAAGAAATTATAAAAAAAAAATAAATAGAAAATGCAGCATTGGAGCTCTGAAAAGAAAGAAGTTGAAAAGAGAAAAGAAGTAGAAAATCTTCAGAGAAATGGATGCATTATGTTTCTTAATAACTGGAAACACCAAAAGTGAGCAGACTTGCATGTCAAAAGTCCCTCATGCCATGATTAAAACTGTCAAAGGAAGGCTGGATAAACAGCCAAAAGTCAGGATATTTAACAAAGACAAGGAAATAGGTGTGAAGGCTTGAAATAATCATATTGTGTGTCCAATATTTAGCCCAGTATAATGATGCCTTTGGTAATACCAGCACAATATTTACAGAAAACAAATAGTTTTAAAGTTTACTAGAAATGATTTTGAAAGTTGATGCTAGAATGGCTGAAACATGTAATCTGGATAAAAATTAAAGAAATAATGCCTCTCTAGGATGGAGAATTCAAAATGAGGGTGTTAGTTTATGAGTAATAAAGTGAGGGAAAAAACTCTACATATAATATATGCAAATCAATTAGATTTTACTAGGGATAAAAGTCATACTGAATGTCTAACATTTACTATGTATATCATTGAACTATCAGCAGAAAACAAGGAAGCTAAAATTAGTCTTTTTAATTGGTTTTATAAATATTATATTAACAAAAAATATTTTAAAGTGAAGAACTATGACTCTCTTGCCTGGGGCCAGAGTGCTGAGGTGTCAGCCTAGCTCACAGTAACCTCAAACTCCTGGGCTAAATCCATCCTCCTGCCTTTGCCTCCCAGGAAGCTGGGACTATAGGCACACTGTGCCTGGCTAATTTTTTTTCTATTTTTAGTTGTTTGGCTAATTTCTTTCTATTTATAGTAGAAAAGGGGTCTCACTCTTGCTCAGGCTGTTCTCAAACTCCTGCACTCAAGCAATCCTCTGGCCTCAGCCTCCCAGAATGCTAGGATTACAGGCGTGAGCCACCGTACCAGGCCAGCCTTGGGTTCTTTTACTGGAGAATATTTAGAAACCAATATCTAGCCCCAGCATATTTGACATTTAGTTAATACCAGCCTATGTCTAACAGTAAGTCTGGTCTGTGATGATTTCTTTCTTTCTTTTTTTTTTTTTTTTTGAGACAGAGTCTCACTCTGTTGCCCAGGCTAGAGTGTCATGGTGTCAGCCTAGCTCGCACAGCAACCTCAAACTCCTGGGCTCAAGCAATCCTTCTGCCTCAGCCTCCCGAGTAACTGGGACTACAGGCATGTGCCACCATGCCCAGCTAGTATTTTCTATATATTTTTAGTAGAGACGGTGTCTTGCTCTTGCTCAGGCTGGTCTCAAACTCCTGACCTTGACCGATCCACCCACCTCTGCCTCTGAGAGTGCTAGGATTACAGCCGTCAGCTACTGTGCCTGGCCTGTGATGACTTCTGAAATCAAAGTTACTCAACCTCCCAATTTTCCAGACTATGGTTTCACTTCCTTTCCTACGTAAGAAATCTTTGGTCAGTTTATGCTATTTTTACCAGCATTCTCAATTACTTTGCTCACTTAACTATCTGTGTCTGCTTTGCCACTCAGCCATGGGTAATCTCAGCTGTTTTATTTCCATATTTAGCCATTAGCAATATAACATTTTAACATTTGACTTTATTGGGGTTTTTTTGTTTGTTCTGGGGTGTGTAAAAAAAATGAAAGAAAAATAAATAAAGTGAAGAACTGAAAACATAAATCTCAATCTTCAGCATTGACTTAAAGCAGAGGTTTTATGTAAAGGGCTAGATTGTCAGTTTTTTAGTCTTTGAAGACTGGACTGTGCCCTTCCAGTCTTTCTAGCTATTTCAGGCATAGAGGAGAGCTCCTGGGATTATACGGAGGTCAGCCTGTCCCAGACAGAAAACTTCAGGAAATGCTGAAAAGATCACAGGAGCCCCAGCCCAGGATGTTGGCAGGGTTCCTGTTTACAAATGTGCCATGCTAAGGGCTTCTGTCGACTTAGAGACCCCAATCTCAATTTCTCAACATCCTGTTTGCTGCCTGCCCCTGGAAGAACAAATTAGACATGCCTGCGGCACATGATATTTCACAATCTCTTATTGATGCTGCGCATTTACTTTGTGAATAATTTAGGACTTTCGTCATTTAACTGGATTCCCATATCTTCTAAGAGATCCAGGCTATTTGACTAACCGAGTCAAGACTTTACCTTGCAAATTCAGTATAGAAGAAATTTCTTGCTTCTTTTGGGTTTCTTTCTGTGATCCAATCCATCGCCTTCATATTTCTGCAGGAAGGAACATGAAAAGAAAAGGGAAAAAAGCCCTCATAGCCTCATAGGGGTTTCTATGCCAGCACATCCTGCTGACATCCTAAAGAAACCAGACTGCAGAGTTACACGTAAAAGTTTAAAAGTTGTGACTCCGTTTTACTGTATGTTCAAACACAGTTTTGTTATTTCCCTAATAACACACGCAACGTCTCCTCTGAAGTTATGGAATAGGGTATATGTGCCTCCATTTTTCTTTTTCTGGGCTGGGATCTGCTAGAGAACTTCAGAGAGCAAAGGCAGAAACCACCGGCTCTTGAAGTTTGCTGCTGGTCTCCTAGCAACCGGCTTCCAGTTGCGGGCACAACTGAGCCGTGTGGGGACTGGGAACACTGGAAAGGGGCACAGATTCACTTTCCCACTGGATAATTAAGTTGTTTTTAATTTCTGTAATAGCAACACACTGTTTAAGCAGTAGTGAAGGAAAGCAGGAAGTTTCTAGATCAAGCTTTTCTGAGTTACCGGATCTGCTCTTGTGACAAGAGAAGCAGGTGTGAGGTGACTGTTGGTTTCTGGCACGTAGGAGCCTGGTCAGGGCCCACAGGGCCAGGCAGGCTGCAGCTGAGGGAGGTGGACGGGTGAGGCCCTGGGGAGCAGAGTTGGGACTAGAGGAAGGCAGCGGGGTGACTATGTAAGGAGGCATCCATAATCTAGGTGTCTCAGCCACCAGGCCCAGGCTCTTGGAGAACAGCTACCAGATCTGATTTACTTTTATTGCCTCATATCTCCTAACGCAGTATAAACTACGACGCTTTACAAATCAATACGGGGGTGCAAGAGTCTAAAACTCTGCAAAGGCAAACACCTCGCTAAGAATAATGATAATAATCAGCCACTGTGCCCTTGTTTGCTTCTCTGTAATTGCTACTCTGGAGTCACACAGCTGGTGGTCATAAAGATTCTTAACTTTCTCTGCAGATAACATCACATCCCCCCCCCCAAACCTAAAGGTAGTTTCTGAGATATCTTCCCAGTCCCACATTCCAGTGGATTGGCTGACCCACCCAGACAGGCAGCCCACACCAAGAAATTGACTCAACTTGAATTGTGACCCCAACCCAGGAACTGACTCCACACAAGAAGATGATTTCTACACCACTATAATTTAGTCCTGAACCTAACCAATTAGCAAACTCAATTGCCTAATCCTTTGCCTACCAAACTATCTTTAAAAACCTTGTCTCCCAAATTCTCAGGGAGGTGGATTTGAGGAATTCCTCCTGTCTCCCTGCTTAGTGATTTGTAGAATTAAACCCTTTCTCCATTGCAACCCCAGCTGTCTCAGTATATTGGCTCTTCTCTGTGTAGCGGGCAGTACTACCCGGTTGGGCGACAACAGCACCTGGCATATTGTAGGTATTTATTTAATATTTGTTTAAGGAGGGGATTCTGGAATTTTGCTGAATATCACTATGCGAGAATCACTGATGTTTACAAATAAGTGTGTGCTCTGCAGCTGTTTTCAATGTCAGGTTCACCTTTATTAATTTAGAGTAACTAGGAGTGGGCTGTTTAAAAAGTTTCATTCTTATGAAACAAATGTTTTTCCTCTGTGTCAATATTTAAAAAAAATTATTTTAATCCAGGATATAGCAAAAAAATTTTTTTTTACCTTTCTGAATGAAAATTTTCATCCATATATAAGTATATAATTTTATTTTGTCTATATCCCTGCTCTTTGAAATGGAATGTCTTGAGCATAGTGTGATCTTTTAAAGGAGCATGAGTCAGGATAGGAATTCTGTTTCTGCAGAACAGAAAACCCCCAAATGCCTATTGAGATGTAAGTTTCTTTGCACCCGTGTTAAGTTACTGCTGTGATTCTCAAGTTCAGGGTGTTCTATCTTCTCCTTCCCTTTTATTTGATATTCATCACATCTGGCAGGGGTTTACCTCCAACATCCAGTTAGCTGCTTCTAGTTTTGTGTTG